AGGCAGAAGCGTCCTCCTTACACGAAGCATGTCATAATGAGGGCTCCAGGTTGGTTCTAAGTTATTACAGTCATTATGGGTTCTCATCAGCTGATTAGGGCTCTAATGAGGGCTCTTCTTCCTTCTTTTCAAGCCAGGGCAGGATCTGATCTGACACCTTGCTTTTGAGGGCAATTACGAGGGAGGTCCCTCCGCGGGGAGCAGACCATGGAAAGCCCGGGGAAAGGTGAGTTTGGAGGCCGGGAGTTCAAGACAGGATCTGTTGAAAGATGATCCCTCTAACCTATAAAGGCCGATGCGGACTGACATAGAAATCACATTTCATGTGAACTAAACGCAATCGGACAAATACAATTTATTCCCCTAGGTCTGTGTCGGGGCTGCACAGAGCAGCTCATCCTCCCTCAGCTCACAGGTCCCGAGGTGCCAGACGTGGAAAGAAATGCAAACCGTCGATAACGTTTGCAAATAGTGGCTTGTGGGCTATCTCTGTTGACCAAAGCCATCTGGATGGTAAGCCTTGTGGCTTTCAAATATTATCTCTCCAACCAATACAGCAGGGCCACGGTGCAGGTATGGGTGTGTAGGGGGGGAGCTTGGGGAGGGATCACCTGGCTCTTTATAAGTGCTCACCCTTTTGTTCTTTTATTAGCAGTCTCCTACTGCTGGGTCTTTGGGGGCAGTTGATAAACGAAACACAGAAGTAAAGGGTGTTAATCACCAATGCTCTGGTGTCATGCTGAGTTTTAGAAACTCTCTCATGGCAAATAAATACACCTGAAGGAAAATGGAACACGGGGCACGTAAGAGTCTGTGATTCGCTTTTAGTCCCGAGTCCCTGAAGTCACTGTATAACCGTAATTCTTCTACGTGTTTACAGAGTCCCCATACAGATGGTGGGTGGGCATTAGAGCAGTATCACAGATTCTGTCTGGGAAGCTGGGCTTTTACTTCGGATGTGATAAAGGTCACATCATTCAGTTCTCTGACTTCAAGCACTGTGGTGCCTCCTCAGGCCTGCGTGGCACCATGGGGAATCTGGTTTTAGGAAATCCCGCCCCTGTGCCTTTTTTCTTTCTTTCTTTTTTTGGGGGGGGGGGCGGGGGTAATGTGTCTTAAATTTCTTATTTGGGAATAAGTAAGGAAAAGAAAATCCAGGTACCAGTGCTCCAATGCCCAGATCCTCGCACCTACACTGATGTGACACCAACTGGGCAACAGGGCCTCTGTGTTGAAACTATGAGTTTAGGATTTAAGGTTACTGTGCCAACCGGTGGAAAGCGGGCAGCCATTCAGTGAGGCTGCATCAGTAACCTAACTACAGGCAGTTTGACACCGCTGATAACACTCGAGAAGAAGGACCACGGGCAATTGGCCTTGTGTCATCTCGCCAAGGATGTGGGGCGGTGGCCTCGCCTCCAGGCAGATGCCCACTCACCTCATGCGTCTACACTACATAAACCTTGGGGTGAAGGGTGGTGAAAAATTGTACAGATTAACATATACATTATTTTAGAGAGAGAAAGAAAGAGAATCCCAAGCAGGTTCCGTGCTCAGCACGGACACTGGCATGGGGCTTGACCCCACGACCTTGGGATCATGACCTGAGCCGAAATCAAGAGTGGGACGCTCAAACCACTGAACCACCCAGGCGCCCCCATATTAACATATTTTCCCCCATATTAATATTTTTAAGTCTCCTCCTAAAAGTAATTTAAAATGGAGCCCAAAGAAGGGGTTTATTTTCCATCATTGAATATTATTGGAGCTATCTATATATAGATATAGATATATAGATTTTTTTTTTTTGGTTAAGTTCTTTTTTTTTTTTTTTTTTTTTTAATTTTTTTTTTTTTAAACGTTTATTTATTTTTGGGACAGAGAGAGACAGAGCATGAACGGGGGAGGGGCAGAGAGAGAGGGAGACACAGAATCGGAAACAGGCTCCAGGCTCTGAGCCATCAGCCCAGAGCCCGACGCGGGGCTCAAACTCATGGACCGCGAGATCGTGACCTGGCTGAAGTCGGACGTTTAACCGACTGCGCCACCCAGGCGCCCCAAGAGATTCTTATTCTAAAAAGATTTGGGTGGTTAAGCCACACCAATGGTAAGTTTATCAGAAAGCTGTCCTGATCCTTTGATCCTGAGTATATCAGAAAAGATGTTTACAGTTAAATCAAATTTTCAAGGAGGCTCTCTGGCCTCGTGCCAGAACTTCTGACAAATACAAGACAATTCTCATAATGAAACAAAGGGACAGGATGTACTGGTTAAAAGTCAACGGTCCACTGGAGCCCGTCTACACGGCTGGTGGGGATGTAAAATGGTATAGCTGATAGGGAAACCAGTATGAGGGTCCCTCAAAAATTAAAAATAGAATTATTACATATTACATAATCTGTCAATTTTACTTCTCACTATATACCCAAAAGGATTAAAGCAGAAAACTCAAAGAGGTACTTGTACACCCATGTTCACAACAGCACTATCAAAACAGCGACCCAGGTGTCCACTGATGGATGAATGGATGAACAAAACGTGGTCCTTGTAAAGGACGCTGTGACGTGCGCCACGGCGTGGGTGAGCCCTGAAGACATGCGAAGTTAGGCGAAGCAGCCAGCCATACCGTCTCAGTCCACTCGTATGAAATCCCTGGAACGGTCCGATCCACACAGACGGTAGGACAGTGGTGCTAGGGGCTGAGGGGACGGCAGAATGGGAAGTTAGGGTCTGACGGGGACAGAGTCAGTTTCACGAGACAATAGGAGCTCTGGAGGTTCACGGCAACGTGAAGTTACCTCACGCCATCGGACCGTATACGTAAGAACGGCTAAAATGGTAAATTGTATGTTACGTACACCATAGTTCTTTTTCAAAAAGAGCCAACGATTGATTACTCACCATGGCATCCATAAAAGGGAAGGCAGCAAGATACAGGAAGGCCCTTCTCGTTTTGTTCCCCACGGACTCGTCCACATGGTGCAGTTTATTGATAATGTAGTAACCTAAGTCACTATAAGCTGCAAGGGGCCAAAAAAGACACGTGGCAATGTTAGAAAAAGTAACCTTTGCAAGCTTTTCATCTTGAAGATGCCAAACAACGTCAAATGGAACATTTGTTTTTCTGTAGAAAAATTATAAAATGCAGATGAGCCACGAGGAAAAAAACAAAACAAAAACGTCTACTATCTCATCCCCCTACCCAGAGGGGGGGGGTCACGGTTAAGGCTCTGGATTCCAACTGCCCAGTTCTTTTATGGGGTGTGTGTGGTGGGCATGTGTGTGGGCTATGCATGTGTATTTTAACATAAAAATGAGATCATACTATATATATACTCTTTTGTAAACCATGAACAGCTTTCCATGATACGCTTCCATACTTAGGTGGTTGCGATGGGTTCCTTTTTGCAGGTTTACTTAGCATCAACTTACTCAGTCTCCTATTAGTACACATTTAGGTTGTTTCTGTTATTTTAATACTGTGTAAGCCTTATATTCACCTATATTCGGATGCATGATGGATTGCTCGGAGGCTACGTGTTTATATAGAGTGTTACTTATTTACTAAGAGAAAATGCCCAGTTGTGAATATGCCTCTTCAATAAAAAATGTAAACCTAGCTTTTCACGGCTTGCCATTCTTTTTGTTTCATCCTTTGGGAGGAGCATGTGGGCACCGAGCCAATACCAGCTGAATGAATTCATAGCTGCCAAATAGACATAAAGGAAGAAAGAGAAAGGTCTTTTGAATGTATTGGCTAGGCATTCTGACAGGGGTTGTTAGCAAAGATTAAATAAATTAGTAAGCTATGTTTACCTTATTGATACATGTTTAGACTATAGAGGAAGATACTAATTGTGTTTTTCATTGTATTTTACATGGAGCTTTAATAACAGTCTTCCTGCTGTTTTCATTAAAAAATATGAATATTAATGCATATGGATAAGTACAGAAGCTGCTGTGAAATCAGAAAGGAGATAGAATGCAGACAGAGTCTCATTTTACGTGAAATAGTAAGATCCCTCCCCCCCTTCAACGTTTGGGCGATGACTTAAAACCATATTAACTGATAATAAGAAGAAGCTGATCATTAACAAATAGCCCTCCATCCTTTTTCAGGATGAGGCTTGAATCACGGGAATTTTGAAGTCAGCCAGGTCTTTGGGACGATATCGAGGATGTTCAGATGCGCAAATGGGAATCCCAGAGGGGGGAGAGGTGCACGTAAGTGATTTTAAGGGGTAGGGGGGTGGGATGGTTAAGACATCCGGAGCACAAGGTGGGATGGGGGGGGGCAGTGCAGGAGGAGAGGTTGAAACCCTCCAAGGGGGGGTGGTCAGAGGTGAAAACCAACTGGGGAGCTGCCAGATGAGCAAACACGTCAGGTGTGGAGCATGGTGGGGCCAGCAGAGACACTGAGGCAGCAAGAGGGCATTCCGAGAGGCAGGTGTCCAGGGGCAGAAAGAGAAAAGACTCGGGACAAGGAGGGAAGGAGGCGGCTATCTTCTCCAAATTGGGGTCAGAAGGCACACAGATTAGACCAGCAGGCTAGAGAGGGCTTGGTCTGACCCAGAAGGCTCAGGGGAGGGGCGGGGAGGGAGCCAGCCAGCCTGCCTTGGCGGCAGTCAGGTGAGCCTCACACTCAGACGAGTGCGACGTCTGACGGCAAGACAGACGGAAACACAAGGCCAGGATGAAGATGTCCCTTGCTCACGGGAATGAGTGGCTTACTCGGGGCGCCTAAACTTAGAAGTTTTGTCTCGGAGTTCGTTGTTCCTGCTGTTTATCTGTATGTTTGTTTCATTCGGTCGGGAATCGACCACTGTGCTGGGACCTACCAGGAGGCGACCCAGCCCCTGCCTGCAGAGTGCCCCCTCCTGGCGGGTGAGGACAGCTGGGCTGGGTGAGCAGAGCAATGCAGTGCCAGCGGCAGGCGCCGGGCGGCTATGAATAGCTCACGGGGCTGACATTCTGGGGTAAAGGTTAGAGCCCACAGACAATGCCAGAGTGCACTTGACTGGACTCTGAGACCGGGGAAGGCCGAGATCCAGAGGGGCGGGGTGCCGGGCAGAGCTGCGTGTCCCCTTGAATTCGTATGTGGAGTCCCCTCCCCAGGACGGCAGAACGGGACCTGATTGGCGACAGGGTCACCGCAGATATAATTTGGTAAGATGAGGTCACACGGAGCAGCGGGGGGGGGGGGGGGGGGGGCTCCCAACGCAGTATGCCTGGGGTCCTTCTAAAAAGGGGAAATGTGGACCCAGAGGTGGACGCGCACAGGGAGAGCGCCACGCAGACGTGAAGCTGGAGATGGGGGTGATGTCCCTGCAGCCGCAGGAAGCCCCAGGTCGCCCTCAAACCACGGAGGCCAGGAGAGAGTCCCAGAAGGGAGCTGCCGTACTGCCGGCTTCATCGTGCAGCCTCGTGAACTGGGAGACCTTGCGTTTCTGTGGTCTTGGCCTCCCGGTCTGTGCCGCGTTGTTAGGACGGCCCTGGCAGAGTCACACCGGCGGCCTCCAGGAAAACAGGAGCCAGAATTCTTTTCCTCCCTGGGACCTGTGAGTTTGAGCGCTTGGGAGGAGGCCCCGGGGGCAGAGATCAATATAAGTCAGCTTCTCCACCTTCTGTACGTTGATCTAAAGGTATCTATTAGGTATTTATTTATTTATTTAATTTATAATGTTTATTTGTTTCTGAGAGAGAGAGAACGAGGGAGGGACAAAGAGAGGAGTGAGAAGATCCCAAGCAGGCTCCGCGCCGTCGGCATGGAGTCAGAGGCGGGGATCGAACCCATGAACTGTGAGATCATGACCTGAGCCGGGCTCGGACCCTTCACGGACTGGGCCACCCAGGCGCCCCCCTATTAGACTCCTTCAACGAAAGTATCAAAAATAGCGCCTTGATGCAGGACAATGGAGAGTGGACAGAAGGACGGCCGGGTGATGAGCTCAGTTGCCAGGCTTTCTGCCTCTGCCAGGACCAGGCCTCTCTGCCCCTCCCACTCCCTTGCTTTTCTCAGCAGGCAGCTGGTGCTGGGCTCCTCCCTCCCGGCCTCCAGGCTCCAGGGGACTTTGGGACCTAGGGGCTGGAGGCCCCTTTGGCTTGTTTTTACTTCTCCTCCTTCAGCTACTTCTTACCTCTCCTCCTCCTCCTCCTCCTCCTCCACCACACAGAGAAGAGTCTGATTGTAACTACAAAGGCTGTTGTTTCCACCCTGTGAGTTGGGAATATAAAATCCCAGCAGCTGTTTTTCACCCAATTCCCCCTCCCTCCCTCCTGTGCCCCTGAGCCGTTCCTGGCTGGAGTTGTCCGCTGGGGGTAATTTGTTTCAAGTGCTTTGCATAGAGTCCATAATTACCAGGCTGGCCGCCTTCACCTTTCCTACCCCTCAGCTTCTATAAACTGCCCTACCTGGATTGTTCTGAAACAGCTCATACTCCTGATGAAGAGCAGAACGTTAAAAGGAAGAACTCAACAAGGCTTTTGAAGAGATGTAAACAGATTTCATGGGGTGGCTGCAGCAGAAGGACTTGGCCTTGGCCCTTTTATAGGCAGGCAGCTTTTGACGCCACCCAAACAAGAAGAAACCGGAAGGGTCATTCAGATCCCTAGCTCTCCTGCCCTCGGCCCACCAGCGTGATGGACCCCTGTCGAGAATCAGTGGCTCTTCAAGCTTAGTCATCCAGGACTTAACTAGCACTTGTTGCAAAATGCCACGAAATATTAATATGAATCCAAACAAGTCTATATACCTAGATTTTCCCATGGGAACTGAGCAGACAGCCCTCCTCCCAATCAAGTAACATGACAATATGTGTATTTCCAAGAGGCAAATTTGAGAACCCTTATTCTCATTCAAATTCCCAAGTTCCCATGCTTAAAAGTCTTACTTGTACTGATTAGGTTGCTAGGTTCTCTATTTACTAGGCTTTTCACACGGCAGGTAACTTGACCCCTGTGCTTCTAATGAATCATTTCAAAGTGTGTGCTTGTATGGCCAGTATTTAAGTCACCTCAACACATGCGGGTGAATGACATCTGCATCAGGCACTATGCCAGCTAACTCCACTGTGAAGAGGCTGGTTACCTACGTGGGGGCTGGAACAGGGACATAGGACACAGCCCTCTAGAATCTGCACTGTGCAACATTTACCTGAAAGATTTGGGCGTGGGAGGTACAAACACTGCTCAGGCCTTAGAGATGTATCATAAACCCGTGCATAAAGTCAGTAAAGTAAATGTGAAATCTTAACACAAGAACATGAATTCTATCTCATCGGTATCAAGACTCCGTGGAGTGGAATTTGTAATAATTTACTGTACGATATCTTGCTTCTCTCTAAAGAACATGCCTTATTCATATCTGAATGCCCAGGATCTAGCCCACTGTAGGTGTTCAATACATGTTGACTGAATGAATGCATGAATCCACCATCTCCCAAAGAAGTGTTTGGGGGAGACTGATTGCAAAATGTCCCTGATTCTTCTCTCCTCCTTATATCCCTTATCTGCTATGTGATTTTGTAGTTCCTCCAAGTGAAAAGTTGGAGTCTATATTCCCTACCCCTTTGAACGTGGGCTGGCCTGGGATTTGTCTTGGCCAGTCACGCGCAGGGGCCGTGACGGTGCCCCTTCCAATTCTTGGCCTCAAAAGGCCTTGTGGGTCTCTATCTTCTCACTTGGGGTATTGCCACAGCTGTGCACACAAGCTCAGGCTGGTGGAAGAGGGCTCAGCTGTCCCATCGGAGGCCATCTGGACCAGCCTACTATTGGCTGACGTCCCCCAGTGAGCCCACCAAGATCAGCAGAGCCTCCCCCTGAGTCTCCACTGACCACAAAGGCATGAGCCACCAAGTCCAAAAGAACCACCCAGATGGCCCGTGGTCTGGTGAGCCAAGAATAAATGCTGTTTTGAGTCACTGAGTATTGGGGTGGTTTGTTACCTCGTGATACACTTCGTGACTGTGCTGAAACTGTCCATTTCTAGCACCCTTGCTGGTTTAAATTATATCAAGTTGTACCCTTTTACCTTTACAGGGCTGGTCTATAATCCATGAATAATGGAGAAGCTTACCGAGAGGGGAAGACTGACAAATGGAACCACTCTAGAAGTTACTTCAATTGCTCCCCATAGGAGCATAGGAACTTGTTCCCCTGAGCTCTGCTGACTGCCCAGGCTGGAACACGCAAGACGCCTTCCAGGGCACTGTTGAGAATAGATGCGTAAGGAAATAAAACATCCACAGCAGTGGTGTCTCCGTCGGTGGGAATTAGGAGGTCAGGCAAATCTAACTTCATGCACGTGAAATTAACTAGGACTCCAAGGAACCCACATACACGGTCAGCAAGTTTTCCTCTCTTTTATAGATTAATTAACAGGGGGAGGTGGAAAACACCTACACCCTGACCACTGGCCTAAATTAAGGTTTGGTGTGGCAAATCCCACGCCCTGCCATTTAAAAAAGTGATGTCTCATCCATGAGCCCAAGACAACAGTAGTGGCTACAATTTAGCTAAAATGAGACACTTATTGGCAACTTCTAACAAAGAAGCTAGAAATACTCCCAAGCCTTCTGCAACGTGGAGATGTAGAGCCAGGCTCTGAGGCACACAGGATAGACTCGAACTCCTGGGCCGGTGGATCCTCTAGACTTCGAAGTCTGTCAGTCCAACAAAATTCCAAGTGTCTACGCAAAACAATCATTAAATACATCTGGGATGCGGAACCATTCTGATTCAAATCTAAGATTTTTATCGATTTTAAAATTGAAAATTTTAGGTTGCATTTGAAAAATGAGGCTGATTTTTATGTCAATGATCCCTTGTTCCTCGTAACAGTTTCGATAACACAGGACACTCAGCTTTTTTCTTCCATGACTACTGATGGCTAGTAATTAGCCTTCAGTACCGAAGTCTTGTTCAGCTATGACAAAAACAGGGAATGTTAGGGTTATTCCGAAACCCAAATAAAAACTGGTGGCCAAAGGGAAGTGATTTACCCATTGAAACAAAAATTTATCTAGACCTATTTATTTCTCTCTGTCTTGCTTGTCTTTATTTTAGGAAGCAGAGAGGGGCAGATAGAGAGGGAGAGAGTCCCAAGCAGGCTCCGCACCGTCCGCGCAGAGCCCGACGTGGGGCTCGAACTCAACTCATGAACTGTGAGATCCTAACCTGACCCGAAATCGAGAGTCGGATGCTCAGCAGACCCAGGTGCCCCTAGACCTACTCATTTCCTGTATGGCATTTTCTCAAAGGCATACGCCATCTTTGAAAATGGTCCAGATCAAATCTAGCTGCCGAAGCTTTCTTCAAAGCACAGTCCGCGAGTTAGCATTCAGGGCCTGAGCTGAAGGAAAAAGAGCATCTCCTCCGCCCAACCCCAGGCCCTGAAGCCCCCAGCCCAAATTAAATGGTCAATGCCAACACTCTGGCTGAACACCCGGCCCCTAGCAGCACCTTCTCATTGTCTCACGCTGCTCTCAGCACAAGCCTCTGGGCTACATTCAAAAGGAAAACCCAAAAGGCCTCCCACCCTTTACTTTCCCAGTCATGTAAGTGAACATTAGCTGCCATCTGAATACAAGGTGAAGGGTTTGGGTTAATCTTCTGGCTCCTTTATTCACCACTGACATTCATGATTCTCATAGAGCCAGTGCTGTTTTGAAGGCACACAATGGGTTTACGAGCGGTTATTCACGGGTTTTATGCAACTGGGCTCAATACATGTGCCACTCAGTTTTTATGCCTCCTAAGCTGAGCTGTTTTAAAAGCCGAGGAGGAGCTCGGAAGTCATGCTCTTAGAACTTTATCACCAACAAGGCAGAAGCAGGACTCGGCCTCCCAAGCAAGTGCTTTTCCAAGGTCTCGGTGAAACCCGCACGCTAGTCGCTATATATATGATGCGGCCTTTTTTCACGGAAAGAATGTTATGCCATAGTATTTAGTCTTGTCTTTGAATATGATTAGAATAACGAGGTCCTCAAATAAGTTAATTTTAATATGTTAAACAATCTCATTTGTTCTCTCTGCCGATGAGCATTAATCCTACATAACAACCGTTCTATTTTTCTGTTGAAGGTTGAGTCTCTGTAGTAACGTGTCTCTCTCAGGAAGCACAGGCCATTTCGTTGAACTGACGGAAATGACCTGCTCTCTGACCCAGGGTTTGGGAGTCAAGGAATTACAACGAGGGCTTCCCAGAGAAAACACATTTTCTTTTCTTGCGCTAGGAACACAAACTCCATTCCTTTCAGCCCTTGAAACTTTTCATGACAGATGTTTGGTAATTGCCAAAGAAATCGCGAATGTTCGAATCGATGGAAAGGAACAACAGACGACAGGGCGGTCGGCAGCCTTACCTATCAGGGTGTGGAAGACGGCGGCGATGGCACCGGCCACGACCATGCACAAGACAGCCTTGGTCCTGTCTCGCTTGCTGTTCACAAACACCAGGCCCACGTTTTTAAAGTCACTCATGGGACCCGTGAAGAACTTCATGAGTGAGTACGCCAGCCCGTAGCTGGCCAGCATTTCCACCGCATCTTCCTTAACAGCAGCAATGCCCCGGTTCAAGGCCTGTGGAGGGGGAAAGACAACCCACGTGAGAGATGTGGTCCCATCTCCCTGGAATCGTACTTCCAAGACGAAACGTGGCACATACGTTTCTATAGAAACGCTAAGCAGCTTACGGGGTAAACCTCACTGTAATTTGATCACGGTTATTAGTTTTCATTTTCATCCCTATTAGCTTTGGTTTGAAATACCTTCTTGTAGGGGAGATCCCTGCCCGGTGGGGTTAAAGTCAGAGAGAAAAACCCAATAAGCTTTTTATGTTAATATCAGAAGATGATTCTAAGAAGTTTTGGTTAAAACCTCAACAGGTTACATTTTACTTGTAGGCTGAATCTCAACGACGGCAACAGGCATTCTGGAAATGAGTCAGCCACTTTGTAGGGGGGTGGGTGATGGTTTCTTTTTTTCTTTAAGGAAGGGGTGTGTGCTCATGCCCGCGTGTGCGTGACCACGCACGCGTGCATGTGCACCCATAACCTGAAAAACCGTCTACGTGTTATGGAGGTACCCTTCCTTGAACAGAGCGAATTCTATGTTATGAACAAAAGTATTGAAGGAACAGATTATATCCTTGACGGATGCTATTTACCCGATTCTTATTGTATTTGAGCTTGGAATGTGTTCCTGAACTCTGTGCAAACAAATATAAGAAAACCTTTAAACCAAATACCCTGGTTTTGGATATTGCTTGCTCAAGAAGTTTGTGGTCACAGAATATTCTGATCATGTTAACCATCCTCCATGATGGACCCTCTGAGGTACCAGTGGCCTTGTCAGCATGGCATTTCCAAACTTACTTTCCCACCTGCTAGACAAATTACACCAGAGATTCTGGGAATGGATGTCTAGGTGGGGAGAATTTTTTATTGTTTATTTATTACTTATTTTTAAACGTGTACCTCTTTATTTTTGAGAGAGAAGAGAGAGAGAGAGAGAGAGAGCATGCACACAAATGGGGATGGGGCAGAGAGAGAGGGAGACACAGAATCTGAAGAAGGTTTCGGGCTCTGAGCTGTCAGCACAGGGCCCGATGTGGGGCTCAAACACACGATCCGTGAGATCCCGACCTGAGCCGAAGTCCGATGCTCACCTGACTGAGGCACCCAGCCGTCCCTAGGTGGAGAGAAAATTTTTTAAAAATGTCACCAGGACATCACCTGCTCTTTAGGAACAGGAAATGTTAAGCAGGAGAGTCAGCTGTGTAGTTTTATACATAGAGAAACAGATGTAGTAAAAGCATGCACAGGAAGCTTCGATTGCTCAGCAGCTCTTTCAAAGAGGCATCGTCCACTTCCAAGAAAACTATCTTGAATAAACACGCTGCCAGCCACAGGAATAGATAAAGAACCAGACCACCTTCCCCACCACTGAGGCTCTTCTGTTTCAGAGATCTTAGTTGATTTCATAACTGACCATTTGGGCCACTTGTCATTTCTCTTCCCCATGCTTTAAATTCCTGCCCTTATGTCTTAAATTCACCAATAAAGAATAAGCCCGTGAAACCCTGGATCCCCTCGCTTGACCCCAATAAAAGCAGAATCCCAGGCCCATGGATGCCGGCACGCTCCCCCTCTCCCCCCACAACATCTCGACCTCACTGGATAGCCTCAGGTGTGCCGTGCAATTTCCGGGTCTTGTAAGTAATAAACCTTTATATTTTCAAAGTTTCCTGATGGTTGTTGCTCAAGGGCGTCTGGCAATCATAATAAGATCCACAAGGGTGGGCCCAGTAGTAATGTCGATTTTGAAAGGGGGAGAGGAGGTTCACTGGGACCCAGGTGAGTGCCTTCAAGGCATTTCTAGCCCCTGGCATTACTATCGATAGGCTGAGATCAGCACAAAACAATAGACTTTATTTTTTAGAGCAGTTTTTTTTAATTTTTTTTAACGTTTTTATTTATTTTTGAGACAGAGAGAGACAAAGCATGAACGGGGGAGGGTCAGAGAGAGGGAGACACAGAATCCGAAACAGGCTCCAGGCTCTGAGCTGTCAGCACAGAGCCCGACGCGGGGCTCGAACTCACAAACCGTGAGATCACGACCTGAGCCGAAGTCGGCCGCTTAACCGACTGAGCCACCCAGGCGCCCCTAGAGCAGTTTTAAGTTCACAGCAAAATGGAGCAGAATGTGCAGTTACTGTAGTCCCTTTGCGCCAACACACACGGCATCCCCCGCTATCATCCTGTGCCAGTGTGGTGCATTTTTACCATCCATGAACCTCCAATGATGCATCATTATCACTCAAAGCCCATAGTTTACATTAGAGTGCACACTTGGGCTGTACATGCTAGGGGTTTTGACAAATATATTTGTCTAATGCTGTGTATACACACACACACACACACACATATATGACACGTATCCATCATCATATAGTTGAACGTTCTATGCAAAGCACTGTTAGCAAAAAAAAAAAAAAAAAAAAAAAAGTATTTATAGGAAAATACTAACGTGTAAAATAGCTTTAGAAAAATCTAGGAGAAAAATATCTATTTGCTGTAGGAATTCAGTGCCATTCTTCTGACAAGGTTGGTATCATATAAGCTAGTTTTTGAAACCTGTTTCCAATTATATGCCTAATCCTCTTTTCCTTTTTTCCCCCAATAATACCTTAAAATTTTCCATAAAAACCTTCTTAGCCTTTGTGGAACATACCTGCCATGATGCCTTCCTTAGAAAAAATTTCCCTTCTAGCAAAGCTGATGTAATACTTTAATACCCTAACGCAAAATAAAAATCAAGAAGTTCCTTGATAACAAATCCTGTGTTTAATAGCACATCTAGTCGGAGGGTCCTGTTATGTGTCACAATCTATCACTCGATGATCTCCTAAATTAAATTTTTTTTGGATTTCTGCAGTGGATGCTGTTGTGTGTCCTACTCAGACCCTCTACTGGGTAGTGCACCTGTCCCTAGGTGCAGGAAGTTGGCCATTAATGGCTCAAAGCTGCCTCCCCCTCAGGGAAAATTGCCCCCAGCCACTTTGGGTTAGAGGAGCCACACCAGAGCCCCAGGTGGCACGCAGACAATGGCTGGCTGACACAGGGGTATGAAAAGATCAGGTCCCCTGCCGCAGGGTGGGGTTGCTCTGGATAGAAATCCAGAGCTTCCTGTGGGGTCGGGTGGAAGCTAGTCTCCAGTGGAGACAACCTCCTTGCTTACCTTCTCTCCCCTCCCTCCATGGCTCTCCTCCCCTCTCCCTGAGAGTGCTCGCCCAACAAATCACTTGCACAAGAATTCCCCAGCGTGAGTCCTGCTTCCAGAGACCCCCAACTTGGGATTGCTCTCATTATGTTTCCCTCAGACTTTGAGACCAGCGTACAGTTTATTCTTTTTTCTTCCCGTCCTTCCCAAAATCTATGGCTGGGAATTGTTCATTGTTTTATTGCTAAAAATGTTCGTTGACATTTAAACGATATATATTATTTAGCACAAGTTTAAAAAGCATACAGGAGGGCATGTAAATAATGTAGACTTAGACTTTTTTTTTAATGTGCCTTGTTGGCAAAATCTTATTCTGTTT